AAGCGATTCCGAAAGGACCGCTGGGTTGCATCCGCTCGAGAAGTGAACCTCAACGGTCAAAGCACTCTCCTCACTGTTCCGACACATGATGGCGACTGAACTGCGTCAGGAACAAAACTTTATAGCCCTGCCTCACGCATGAGATCACTAGCGTTTCTCTACGTCATTATCCGACCGAATGACGCGGATTTTACTAACTACACATATAAGTGTCGATCATCGTCTTTAGGTGTCAGTGTTACCAACTCTCGGATTGTTGCCGCGGGTTATGAGACTTCCTTTTCCTTCGTGGAAAGATACCGAGAATACGTACTCTCAGAAATATTTACAAGCGAGATTGATTGGTGCATCTGAAGAATGATACTATACCTGAGTATAGATAGTTGTCTTTAAAAGTAAAACCGAGCCAGCCTTTATCACTCCTAAAGGAATTACAGTCCTCTCACTTGGTTACATGGCTGCGACGATGGAAATGTCATGTGTATGTAACACATTGTTGGTCACCGTGGTTTCAATAAGTAAATCTGCGGATTTCTTGGTACATTTCTCGGTATTTTTAACTGAAAGCCTAGGCTACACTGACACTCACCCACTCTCTATCGGTTATTATACACCCTCATTTCAAGAATTAACCCTAAGGGCGACCACAGGTTCCTCTTGGTTGTCATGTGGGCGTGAAGATAGACGTAAGAATGTTCGCGGAGTGATGCTACTATTCATAATTTCCATACTTTGCAAAAATCTAACTTGTTCTCATTCAATAAGCAGTAGGCTGGGGATATTTATTTGGTTGACATGCGAAATATGGCCAACTTTCACTCTCCTCTCTCGAATCCGCCACTGATTTGTTTATTGTTATACAATTATTAAGTACAATGTTGCCCAACGGAAATATAAATCAAAGTGTAGCAACATGAAGCTACAATTTCGGTCTAGTTATATTACAACCCAAGAGTTCAAATAGTCTATTTAAGTAAAAAGATAACATGGTCATTTATGAAATATTCAATTTTCATAATTGAGGTGTTGGTTGAATCAAATAAAAAGTTGAAGATACCCAGTTGAATAATGTAACTATTGAAGCTTACCAGATTTTTGTGTCGCTGATTCATTTCCATATTGCTCTAGTAAGCAGGTTTATAATGTAGCCTCAATGAAGTAGCTTGTGAATATTGTATGAAAACTGATCACCCAGTTATAAATTTTGTTAGTCTAAATGAAGACGCCGTAATCTGTGTTAGATTAAAAAATAAAATGTCATCCGGTCCAAATAATAAATACTCCTTTCTTGTTGGTCGAGAACTGCTCCCGTGTATTAGCTGAACCGCTTACGAAGAATTTTAATTTGTCGCTTAGATCTGGCAGATTTCCGAAATGCGGAAACAAGCTAGAATTTATCCTATAATCAAACACAGCAAAGATTGAAAATTATAGAGGGGTATTCATACTCTGCAACTGTTTCTAAATCTTTTGCAATAAATCAGCATGGTTTTATTGATAAGCGATCTACAGTTACCAATTTGATCACAATACATTTCAAAAGTCTTGGACGAGCAAGGACTAGGATATATAAACAGATTATTCCGGAGCTTTTGACAAGGTTTCTGATAATAAACTATTGCCAAAGCTTTCTGGTTATAGCTATTCTGTTGAAGTTATAAATCGTTTTATGTCCTACTTGTCCGGTAGGATATAGGCCATCTTCTATGTTAGTTACGTCAGATGTTCCGCAGGGATCCAACTTAGGCCCTCTCCTATTCATTTTATATCTCAATTACTTATTGGCAGTAATTAAGTGTGATGTATTGTTTTGCCGATACCAAATGTGTTCCAAGAAATCTTAAAATAAACAAAGATATCTTGTTGTTACCACGTACTGGTGCGATAATGATGATAACCGTCATCTTAATGTGCAAAAATTTAAAGCTATATCACATAGTAGAAGAAGCATAGATGTTAAACACAAATACATGATCAAAAATTCTGAAGTACAGAGTCGCCACTTATAACGATTCTAGGTTGACATTTGCGGAACACACTGAGCAGAGAACATCTAAAGCTCTGAAACTGTATGCTTTTATTGTGCGAAACTGTGAAGGCTTTTCAAATATCGATGTGATTAGGTCGTTATTCAACTCGCTTGTACGTCCCAAACTAGAATATGGATCTGTAGTGTGCGATCCTTTATATGAATGATTTGCCGTTGCATTAGAAAGGGTTCAACGCAAGTCTCTGAAGTATTTGGCTTTTAAAGTTGACTAAACTGACCCAAAACGAGGTATAGCCTTACATTTTGTACAAAACCTTACGTAATGGCATTGAGCAGGAGCAATATCGGACATCGCTGTCATTTTCATAACAATTTCTGCGACGTCAATAACTTTTGACAGCAACATAAGAATAAGCTCATCTGCCTGATCATTCTGACTGTCAAACTGGCATTCTGTACAACCAGAACTATCTCAAATAGCCACGCAATACATGCCGAAGTTACGGTACTGTTTGGTTAGTAACGCCACTGTTTTAACACATTCATACGGTCACGCGCGTAGAATAATTAAAAACGCTTCCTGTATATAAAATGAAATAGCGTTCGTTAGAACATAAACTCCATCCCACAAATTTGACAGGTCACGCTAAAAAATATATTGGGTCGTATTTTTGCATGGCATATGATAATGCCCTTGCGTATATTTATGTGGTTAATCTGCCAGTTAACATGTATTTAGTATTCCCGCCTGTTGAAGCTTCCACGAACTTTTTGTGGAGACTGACCTATGAATATTCATTTAGTATGTATCATGTGTGGTGTACCGAATTTTTAGACATTTTGACAGGAAAATTCTACGAACACAAACAATGCTGGCTAAACGAACATTTTCTCAGAAACATGATCCGTTGGCTTATCAGGATCTGTTTGTTTTTCCGTCTCTGCCAGGCCTCACCTCCCCACTACTGGAAAACTCCCACATGGTGGTGCGTTGGTACGTTACAAAGTTGAATGTGAGATGTGTATCTGATACACATGAACAAAAAACATGAAAAAAAAATCCGAAAACTCTTGCGTAGAGCAACAATCTGCTATCAGTTATTCCACTGAGGTCGACAGGAAGCTCCAAAAATCCCAAGCTTCTATTTTAAATAGCGTCTCGCGATACATAAGCTTTTTTAATAGCCATATTGGAAATAAACATCTCAAATTACCATATTGAACTGAGTTCTGTCTGCTTGTAACACTAGTTGCCGAACACATAAATTTTATCTTGGAAACACTAAAGGTATAAACTTCGGTGTAAAAAAGGCATACTTTTGGAAAAAAACTCAAAAATAAATGGCCAGAACCCGTTTAATATGGTGATCACGAATCTCATCTCAGTTTTAAAATAAGATCAGCGAGATACCCCAAAAGTCCGATGTTTCTATTCCTAAGAAGATTTTAGGAGAGAAAAACGTTATAGTTTAATAATACGACTAGGAATTTCAATTTTTTTTACTTATCTACAATCTCCAGTGCGGGTCCGTAAATCATGAATGTGACATCAGATTTTTATTATGATCTGTTGAAAGCCCCCAAAAGTCCGATCTTTCTACTTAAATAGGGTTTTCCGATAATAATATAATAGCATCTATTGGCTAACAGAAGTTTTGAAATTGTATTTACAGAACAAAGAATCGAAATCTGGCAAAGCTTAAAAAGACATTAATTTGTTCAAATTCAAGAGAATAAACAAACAGTATAATATGTATAACGCTATTTAAGGTTCTGTCATAAAACCCTCTTGAGTTGAGGAAGAGAACATATAAAGATTATAAATACTGCATATCCTAGATTTTAAAGCGAAGTTGGTTTTTTAACATGTCTTTGGAATTAAAAATTCGAGCTGGGATAACAGGTCTGGGGAATCAGCAGCACTACGTAAAAGTTTATATGAGAATATCACGGAGTTGTGTTTTATTTTCACTATTTGCACGTCCTTATTTTTAATTAAAAAATAAAAATAAATTAAGTTTTCTCTCACTCAAGGAAGCAACTTGAAATCTTTCCAACAATACTTGGTAGTCCGACCCTCGCTGATGATAAGCTGAATCAATCTTGAAAACCAAGTACTAAAGAAATTTCTCCAAATCAACGAAGCATATTCCAATTTGGAATATACATATACAAAGTATAATGTTTTTAACGCAGTTCAGTTTTTAATAAGTTTGCGGTTTCTAACAATAAAACCGAAAACTCTATTAGCACTATTTACAATTTGAGTAATGTGATAGTCAAAATTCATCCTACGGCCTGAATCACAAGCCGCATCGTGCTGACTGGTGACATTTCCTCCGATATTCTAAGGGTAAATTAATATTTGTTTATTCAATCGACACCAATCTTCCAAGTCATAGGCAAATGTTGATGTTTCACAATGAATATTGCTACTCATATCGTTAACACAGAGCAAAAAAAACCAAATCCCAAATACGAACCCTGTAATACCCCTGAAGATGCTGTATAGGGAAAAGACTCGAAGCCATTGCATGATGTGAGTAGCTGACGATTATGTAATCAGGTCTTGAATAAAGATATCAAGTTGTCAGTGAAACCAAACAAATTCAAGTTGGCAAGAAGTATCCTGTGATGGTCGTATTTGAGATCCCATATTAACCCCAATAACACGAGTTCACTTCGCTTTATCTCTATCCTTGGAAACACCATTTATAACGCTCGCTGAATTCTGCTCCACCCGGTATAATATTGTAAGGACACATATTATCAAAAAAGTAGATTGGTTATAAATGCAGACTCATGAAGAATGTGTAGGCATTAAGGCACTAAGCATGAATAATCAGAGTTAATAAAGCTTCCCTTGCTACGAACCACCTATTATACATACAAAGCCTTCAGCTTGTATACACATGTCTTCTCACGGCTAATTTACCCTCGTGTCATCCCTTCATTGAAGTTCGTCACGCCTGGAACATTGGAGAAAACTCCCCGGCAAACACCAGTAAATTCCTTCGTGATCCTACGCACATTAAACTTCCATTTATTTTGTTGCAGAGAAGGAGAGATGTCCTGAGCGTGCTTTTACTCAGCGAGGGCGCGACTATGAGGACGTTATGGCGCTATCTTCGGGCTTACCGTCTCTTCCTCAGCTGGATGCTGTCGCTCGCTTATGTGGGCTTCGGAGCATTGGCTGTCGATCCTTGTAAGTATACACTTTGTAAGCATCTACAGATGGGTAGCCGTAGTCTCTCTCTTTGGCAAAATCATTTTCTTGACATAATAATAATATACTCAGTAACATTAGAAGTATTACACCCAGAAAAAAATAATTTCTTCAACTTGATTTTTTTGACAATGAGACAGTCTTACATCAAGAATGAAACGATAACATTCTCACGAAATTTTATTCACAATAAAAAAAATTAATGTGTTGGGCGACCCCGCAGCTAAATACACTTCCGTATACGTCTAGGCATCGACAAAATGAGATGATCGCGGTCTGGTTGTGGCACGTCATTCCAAGCAACTCGAAGTTCGTGTATTAGTTGTGGCGGATGGTGCAAAGTGGATAGTCTCCTCCCCTTCATATCCCACACATGTTAGATGGGATTTAAATCCGGTGAACGAGGTGGCCACGGCAAAACATTAACGCCTGCTTCTTGAAGAAAGTCCGTAGTTCCACGAGCAATATGGGCACGTGCTTTGTATTGCTCAAAAAGGACATGTGGACGGTCCTCTAGATACGGCAGTAAAGTGGTTTGTACAACATTATCAACATAAAGCGTAGCATTCATATTGCCTTGAACAAAGAGAAGGGGTGATCGGCTACCATAGGCAATAGCCCTCATTACTAGAAACAGTCCTATGTACATGCCTCTCAACAGCAAATCCAATATCACGCCGTTCTCCATGGCGGCGTCTTACCCTTAAACGAACATCGCTTGACCTAGACAGAATCGCGATTCGTCGCTGAAGATGACATTATGCCATTCTGCCTCCCAATGTTGCTGTCCTCTGCTCCAGTTCAAACGTTGACTGAAGCGCCTATCTTGACGCTCTGTGGCATGCCTCGATAGACCAGTTGGCCTTCGTGTTCCTCTACCTTCTTGTATCCACACACGACACACACACTCATTACCGACATTGCTGTACTAGCACCGCCATAGGACAAACCGACATCTCGAAAGGCAATAACTCTACCCCTATCAAAGTCGCTAACATGGTGATAATTTGGACGTCTTCGAACTCGAGGCATTTTGTTATACTCAACACTAATAAATGAAAGGGCAGTAACTAAAATATCTGTACTATTCAGCTTTCAGAAACTGCTTTCTTCATAAAAACTAAGAGATGACCTGTTACTAAAGGTAAACAAAAGCAAAGATAAAACGTTGACGTTGTTTCTACAGCATGATTTAAATGTAGTCATTACGTTGCCAAAAAAAAACAAGTTGAAGAAATTATTTTTTTCTGGGTACAACACTTCTGATGTCACTACTAAGTATGAAAAAGGTCCTTCATGGAAGGTTTGCTCATGAAATTGTCCAAGAAGCTGGCGTCAAGCAATCGTCATTCAGGTTCAGCAATTAGCGTAAATGTATACTCAAAGATGGAACACTTAACGATATATGTCGTAAATGCAAACGAGTAAGTGAGTCAGTACAACACATTATAGGATGATGCCAAGCAATATCCGAAACGGAGTACAAGTTCAGACACAATAAGGTAGGGAAAACCATACACTAAAAACTGGCACTGAAATACAAGCTACTAAAAAAATTACTACCAGTACGAACCAACAGTTATTCTAGAAAACCAAAACTCTGAAATCTACTGGGACGGAACCATTCTAACAGACGAAAGAACCGAGCACAACAGTCCTGTCATAGTGGTAAAGGACAAAAGTAAATACAATTCATCTGTGCTTTGAGGTGAAAGATGTGGACGTATGAAGGAGCCCAAAGATTTCCAATTAGTCCCAGCTCATGCAGAAATCTGTCATATAAAACGGCAATTCCTGTACATGTGAAGGCAAAACTATTACACCCCAATAGAAGATGTTACAACCGTGAGTGAGACGACAGACTCGTCCCGCCATGAGAAACCGATTAAATAGGTCATGAAACAGGGAAATAATAATGATGTATTGCTTTTATTGCTCATGTAAGTACAGAAAAACAAAGACAACATAATTCTGATGCAATTAGCAAACGCCAAGGTTCGCTTGATTGGTAACCATTAGTTGTCAAATTGCGCTGCTCTTCCTCAGAACATCTATTAACTTGACCAGAAGATAACCTCATATTCACTACAATTGAGGCACTGAGAATATATCTGGTCGAAAAATGTATTACTAGGAAAATTGACTTGTCTTTTTTTTACTTTGATATACGCTGTAAAGCTTTGTATTTGATCTTGCCAGTCATTTGGCTAATTGCCACTTTTACCCTGTATTCTATTCCCATAAGGCTGCACCTTAAATGGCATGGCTGAATAGTTTCCTGGTCCGTTAGCTCCTGAAACTGTTATACTCCCAACTTGCTGAAACTTCGATCCAGTTGCTCAACATTAATCTTGCGATAGTTTGAAGCTTTAGATGAAATTTATCATTAATCCAGCCGGGAACGAAACTACCTACTCCAGTTTATCCTGGCAGTTCTGTCAACAAATCTTTCGGCTGCCTGTTCCCTATAAATTATCCTTTGTTTACCTTCGGCTAAGTCCCAATAACGACACGCCGCTATACCATCGATTTTTCCGTCGATCTCTTCCAATAAACGATAGGTTACACGAGGATGATGGATGTGGATACCATCGAAGGTCTACGAGGGGTGTTAGAGAATTTCCCTATAGCAACTTGAGACTTTCAGGCAGTTGGTCCAAAGTGACTATTTTAAAATCACTGCGGGCTATTGAGTAAATACATAATGAATGAATGAATGAATAAAGAATATAGAATAATTAGAGGTATACCGGCCACCATGAGGAGCCGGCACATAAACGGGCCATTATGATTATGCGCCACTACATTCCCTAAGGCTGTAGCTCCGCTCTTCTAGCGAAGTTGGGTATAGCCCTGCGTCCCAGCTCCTTAGTATTTTCAGAGCCTCACAGCGATACAGAACATGCACCAAGGAATCCTCTTATACCCCGCAGAGCTCACACATGGGATCCTCAACCACCACCATCACATGCAGGTGAAACCTTATCGTAGTATGGCCCGACAACAGTCCCATCAACAACCTAAGCTTGGCTGTATCCAAAGATAAGCAAAAGCGCCCATCCTTAACACTGTGACCTAAGATGAGCTCCTGTGCCTGATAGAGATGTCTAGATATGCTTCTCCATTTCATTATCTAGCAATCCACTTCTCCATTATCCTCCTGACTCTTTGCGCGGATACCTCTAGGGCTGGCTCAGGACCATCAACCTTACTCACTGATCCTGCTTCCGAGAGAGCGTCCTCCATGTCATTAGCTTTTATCTAAGCGTGCCGCGGTACTACACTAACGATACCGGATGCCTCGCTGCTAAACTATCCTGTCGCTGCATAGATTTCTTCGCAGATGGTTTAAGAAGCAAAATACCCTTCTGCCCTTTTCATAGAGAGATAGGAACATAGTTTCACGCACCGCGAATACCGTAAGAATCTTAAAATGTCCTGTGGGCTACATGAAACTTCCTGAATATCATTTTTACAAAATATATTGAGGTTCCTGTAAGTGCTGTCTGCGGTCAAATCGTTTAGTTGTTCCATAAACATGAAAAAAAAACATGGAATTTCTTTTTTGATGTGAACATTCTATTTATCCGTAACTGGCCTTATGATACGGGCCTTCCTCTTTTGCAAACCTTCTTCAGTTATCTAGTATCAAGAATTCTCAGAATCTTTATAAAATGCCTATTTTGATTGATATTGTAACGCCCACTGTTACTTTGAGTAACGATGAAACGTCCTAGCAAAATCGACGCTTAGGCAACCCAGTCACTCCACCGTGTATCAAAAGTGCTATAGCTTGCAGAATGATCGAGATGGATCGGCCGACATCGGGAGCGCTCGAGGAGTGTCGATCGGCATCGTCTAGAACTTGGATGAGGCGCTGGCAGACTCTACACGATTTAAAGAATCTCACGTTCCAAACTCAAATGTTACCTAACCTCAAACGGGCCACGTGACAACTCTGCGAAAACCACCCTAAAGATTTATAATAGCAAAAGGCTAACTCTTCATATTCCCTGGTAGATCGCCATCTATCTGAGAGGGATGTAGCAGCTCCAGGGTAACTCTGACACCAGGGGCTCAATCGCCAGTGGTGTATATGCAGTAATAATCCGGTGTGATTAGCAGTGGCCGTAATTAAACGGGATTAGAACGTCACTCATACGTTCTGTACTCGCTAAATGCAGGATTACACCACCGCCACCTCGCCGCACATTTGATATTTACCCGAGTGGAAGTTACATTTTTGATGGTCTCGGTAAGCCGTTGCTCATTGGTCGCTCGGAATACTCAATGGTGAAATGGAATGCAGACAGTACGTAATGTCAAGTAGAGGGAGGAAGAGGGTAGTTTTGGCTGACTAGATTAGATACAGGTACAAAGATTTTGAGGCTGCCGCTACAACGCAAGCCAGAAATAAAGTTTGCTCTTTGTTCACGTCAAGGTTTCGAAAATGTCTAGTTTCATCAGGACGCACTATAAAAACAATTGTATGACAAATTCATCCAAATACAACATCGCTGAAAAACTAAATAAAAATGGTACCAAGTAGGTGGACTCAGTACTTCCCACGTAACGCCCTTAACAGATCATAAAGGAATATGTTTAGCACAAACTAGACCCTCTGAGGAAAATGTCAGTCAACAGGTATATACAATTAGTCCACACACATGCTTTACCTGCGCTACCGATAGTGTTTCTGGAAACGTCGCATATAATACCTCACTCGGGCAGACGTGGCACCGTGGTGACGCGGTCAGAGCATAGAAAACACTACGCTGTTGTGCGATAGAAATACGCGTGATTCCATATCAGAGCACTCATCACGGTCGGCTCACGACGCCAGCAGTAGTCGCGGCCGATAAGCACGTGATCCGCCTTCCCACCTCCGAATGCATGGCTTGATGTCCGGTTTCCTTCTTCCATTTTGGCAACGCTGTAATAATGCATACGAGTATGCGGTCATGCGTAATTTTGCAGCCCGCTTCTCACTTTCACCATCGTTTTTGGATATGCCAATTTGCTGCTTGAACTGGTTGTAACCGCCATTGTAGGTTTGGAAAATTATCTCGCTAAATATTTATGAATATAACATTATTTTTAAAGATGTTCACCCACGAATTGCTCCATATTGATCAATATTCTAATATTTGTGACCCGTGTGTATGAATGTTGCTCAATAATATGTTTTTCTCCGTCTCTATAGCTTTGGAAATTTATCTCGCTAATAATTTCACCGTTTTTGGACTGCGTGTCTCGAAATAAGAGTTTAACGTCATAAATAGTTTTTCAATAATATGCATTTGATTGCAGTTGCCCTACCTCTGTATTCCGCCCAGATGAAAAAATCATTTGCGAAAGCTCGACCTGAACAAAGCACGAACTTGCTTTCTGACTTGAATTTCTTTATGTTGTGGCTGCAACCTCAAGATGCTCATGCTTGTTTAATGACAAGTCACCCAATATAGTTTCACAATCTTTCTCAGCAATGTTGCTGCACTTCTCTCAATAATTTCTGTTACAAATACAAATTATTTGTGACACACTATACAGTAACCATAATATAATTCGAGTATTACGCCCATTGCGAATTATGCGTTTGGCAGCAAAGGTTGCTTGACCAATTGAGTACTGAATCGCAATTTTTCCAAGATAAGGAACCACATAAAAGTACTGCCCAAAATTGTTTCTCATTTTACAAAGTCTACATTTTTTTCCAGCGCAATGCATTGCTCCACTGGGGATGGAGAATGGACAGATAAAAGACTCGGATCTATCAGCCAGTTCTTCCTTTGACAGTGGAAACGTCGGACCACAACATGGAAGGTAAGTAGTTACTTATCCATTACTTTTACTGTGTGTAATGTTCTCTCTTAAAAGTTTTAATTCCAACGTTAACCTTCTTTCTAGTGATACTAACATTAACTACTATACATGCAGTGTTTGTAATTACGAATACTCTATCCAAGTGATGTAAATATCACTCATATTATAAGTTCACAAATGCATCAATGTGATATCTAGAAATACTGCATAGGAAGCCACCCCATTATCCATATGTTCTGCAAATTTCATTATCTAGCTGAGCTACACATCAGCTGTAAAGTAGGTCACCGAAAAAAGGGTCGTCCACAACATGAAAATTTATTATTTGCAATTACCGCGTGAGCTCCATGGCAGTTATGTATTGGTACTGGTCATACTCCCTGTGCATTAATATAGCTAGCTCTTTATTTTAATTGCGAATTCACTCATTTATAATTCAGGCAATTTCATTGACAGTTTTAACTGATCGGTCAACCATGCTCACTAGAGATTCATCGAAAGCGTATTTTCCAAAGTCAAGTTATGTCAAAACATAAATTCGTATTACGCTGAAATAGTACAATATGAGTACAAGGTGAGTTTTCTAGTCATTGCGAAAACATTGCTCAAGTACAGGAATATAAGCTGAATATTCTGATATGAGTCGATAGGTCCAAATTTTACTATTGACCCGCGGGATGTAAAATTTTGAACTGGATCATAATAGATCAATGAGAAGGACTCTTTCCAGTAATGGATCAAATGAATATAGTCGATTTCTACTAATATATCTGTCAAACTGGCGAAGAAATATACTAGTTGTGTAAGAATCCCCATATTAAATCGACAAGTTCTTTATAAATCACGTGGTTTAGCTACAAAACATATAGCAATTAGAGGCCCTTCCTACATAAATCGTATATTTTTCGCTAGATTGATATTTTAGAAAAAATCGACTATATTAGTTACATTATTAGAACGACGCCTTCTTCCGATGATCCTATTAGTAAAATCGGGCTTAGAGGAAGAAAGCTTGAAATAGATGCTTAAGTGTCTTGAAAAGGATCTCATAAATCGCCAAAGAGGTTCACTATATTGAGATAGCTATTAAAATTTTTGGCAGAAATTAGTTACTGGATATACATAGAAGATAACCACATCGTATAGCACAACTTATCATTTGCGTCCTTGGAAGTAAGAGCGAATTCAAATAATGACTGATCCGTAAGTTTCTGGTTCATAAAAATTAAAAAACTAATATATCGTCGGCGTTCTGGCAAAATGAGGCAATACTCACTAAGTCCAGAAGTTGGTGTATAACTGGTTGCCAATATGTGAGAAATGCCCAAGTCACAATTTGACGTGTTCCATACCAAGCAAAAATGGACTTAAAACAGAACACTTAACACGCAGCGCGGAACCAACCCAGAAAAATAATTATTAAGAAATTAAACAATGTTAACAAATTAATTTCAGACCAAATACGATTTTAATTAATGGCACTCTAAAGGCTGTAAATATGTGTAGGAATCTTTTTACAGTAAATGGTATTGCTCGTAATAGTTTATTTTCCTAAAATCTAGATTTTTCATATTTAGTGGGTTGGTTCCTTTCTGCAAAAATCCATCCAATTAATGTTTTAATCAACGCAAGGAATATAAAATGTGAGTTTTCCATAAATGAAAAACTCCCTGTTACGTCACGGAAAGGTGAAATACATTTCCATTCCCAATTCAGCAGAAAATTGGCTCGACGTATTCGATTTTCTGCCTGTATTTGTTTAAGTACAGAATTACATTTTCCCAGTTATTGATTGAATCCGAGTACTTTTTAATTTTATTTGAAAGGACCGGAGTAAGGAAAAGTCAAGTGAGACACTCAAAGCGAAAGTTTTCCACTTATCGAATAAAAACTACTCCGAAAACTTGGGAAATACGTCTCCCTCGACTACGTGGGATCAAATTTAAAAACCTTTTCGACTGAAGGTAATGCATGTCGGCAAACGAGAAAAAGCTGGCGAAAAAGGTATTTCCCAGAACGCGCCATTGAAACGTAAACCATGTAGAGGTAACTATTGCCTATTCAGGGGTGTATCACGTTTTACGAAGGGCATGCTATTTGGAAGACAAAAAAATCTGCTTGTCATCAAATACGTGTTTATAGAAGAGAAAAATCACTGGGTGCATCAGGCGTCATTCTAAGGCTCTCAAAAAATAGTATTTGTGGAAGTTGTGAACTAGCTCACTTTTTTGACAAATAAGGACCTGACGCTAAATTAGTTTATCAAGAGCTGCAGCCATTAATTCGTCAGTGGGTTGCAACACACCTTTGAATATTGCCGTCATATTTAGTTACGTTACTTCCATATTGCTTCCATAATACTTGAGAATGTTTGAACAACACCATAATTTTAGCTGATGTTCGCCTAATATTGGACATACTTTAAGTTGCGAATAGCCGACGAGGTACTACCGACCCCTAAGTCAGTACCAGGAAACTCGTACTTCACAATACAAGCAAGAGCCACAAGCTGGATACGCAGCATCTACAGCTTGTTCACAATTTTGCGGGTTTGACGGACTTTACTCATTAACTTTCCATATATCCATGCTGTGGAAAAAAAGGGGGTGAATACATCCTTCATTTACTGGATAGCTTGTCTACATTATAGAATGACAATCGAGAGCCCGCTTCAATAAACCGGACGTCTCATCACTATGCTACCAAAAATTTGCCATAGTATACAAAACTTGCATAAACTAGACACAGGGTAAACAGGATTAAGGTTGCTTTCTATCTCTGCAACCATAACCAGCTATAACCAACGTTGTTGAGCACAGCACGTCTCCCCTTCGCACACCACAACACTAAGTCTATCAGTTCCGCTGTCTGTCTCCAATGACTAAACCTATATCGTACTGATTATTGCCAAAAAGTATATAACAATGTTAGGGTCCCGGAGGCGGATTACAAATAGCAGTTAATATATTTATATACTTTCATGTTTTACTTTAAAGTACACAGGCTATTCTGAAAGTTGAAACTTTCCTAGTCAAAAACAACTTTTTTTATACCGAAGCAGCCGCGCAGGCAGAAGCCTAAATGCTGACACACCCCGGCTGCTACGATGATCCAAACGAAATTTTCATACAATAATATTACTACTGCACATCGGCGTAAAAATACCGCTTTTACCTCCTTGTCGTTTACTGCTGTTCGATGTTTCCATTCAAAAAAAAGTATGTTTTTTTTTTAAATCGGATTAGTAAACAAACAGCTCGGTTTAGCTACACGAAGCGTGGCGCCTGAGTTGGATGATGGCGCACGTCGTATGTTTTCACATAATCTTTTTCTGGAATCCGGGCCGCATTTATAATCGCATTTTTTCCAAACCTACTATGTCGCTATATTAAAATTTAATGTGTGTGCTATTAGCAAAATTTGCTTATTTTTTATCGACCTTCATATGCCGTATAAAAGAATATTCTAACTTTAAGAATATCCTTTCAAGTAAAAGGAGCTAAACATGACAAGCCACACCTGTGTATTTGATAGCTGATCTTCAGCCCAACTACCAGAATGCTTGAATTTCTACGTCTAATTTCAATACCGAATCAATCAATCACATGTATCGATATATCTTCCTGATTGGAAGCACCTCGGGCTTCCAAATGCCCATCATTCTACCTTGCAGTCGCTCATCCTTTGGCATTGCACAAACTAATCGGATACACATCAGAAAATGAAACCAAGCGTACAGCGCAAGGTATTGTTGCTTCTACAAAGGGCTGCTCTGCAGTTCACAGTGGTGGCAGCATATTATTGAAATTCTTGGCAGATTCCTGCTACCTGCACAATAGACCTCATAATTATTGCGATATCGAAGTTTCTAGTATAACGATAGTGTTGACATTATTGGTATGAAACTTGACAGATATGACGGGAATATTAACGACCTCATTCTACGCGAAGTAAGGGGTTTTCTTCCTTATGCCAAATGAACCTCTCAAAAAAAGTGCAGCATAGTAGCACAGAATGACGCACTAACTATGTGTCAAAAAATGTTCAATGGATTGGTTCATTTCTTGACTACTTATATTTCATCAAGCTGAATTAAAAATCTCATTTATTAAAGTTGTGTTCATTGATCCTACATTGCGAAAGTAAATCTCAATAATTAAAAAGTCACTAATGGCTAAAACGAATTCGGTTTTTTTCAAATCAATCAATGTGAAAGCTTTATTTTATATAGATTATATTACATATGATGCCTATGGCTAAAAATATATTGCTTCTCTATACATTCAAAATATGTACTTCTTAGGAAAGGGGTGAAATAAGAGGAGGAGGAGGATAGTAGACTTAGGATAAAACCTTATTATTTTCAATGTCACTTCTATAGAAACATTCGTGTTGAAGCCAATGATTGAACATAGAGCCTAAGCTGCTGGATTAGGATTATTTCTTTCTTGATTACTGATTTATTAAGATCCGAACATAACATTCAAATATGTCTTCCATTGCCCACTTTGCTTTCATAACGGCTGTGTTTTGCTGTTTGGATTCATTTGGAACGCACAAATCATCTGCATATGTGACATTGTTTGTGCTGTTTTCTACCAGCACATCAGCAATGCATGAGTTGCACAGGTGGAGATCGAGGATGGAGCCCTGTGGTACTCCATAGCGTTGCTGGTATATTTTTGTTTTGGCATGATTTCTGCTGCGTATTTGTCGACTAAGCAAATAATTTTGTATAATTTTGGTAACATTGTTAGAGACGGCCGTTGGTTGTAACTTATAAATAAGAGCAGTATGAGTAATAGAGTCAAAGGTTTGACTGTTTATATTTCACTAGGTTGAATTAATACCTCATTTGTTAGAGTTGTATTCAAAGATTCTGCATTGCAAATGTATTTCCTGGTGGTTAAAAAAAATCCTAATGGTTAAAACGAATCCTGGAGGGCACAAAGTATATTTTTCATGGAATTATAAACATGCCAGGACCAGACAGCAACTAC